GCCCCTCCCGGCCTCCCTCCGGCCTCCCTCCGGCCTCCCTCCCGGCCGGTCCGCGGGGACTCGCCCGCCCGCCCCGCCGCCCCAACGGCGCCCGCCGGCGGAAATTCTCCACAGACGCCAACTCTTCCCGACGCCGCGCGAAGGGAACAAGGGACGGCTTTCAACCCGTCCTCAGGTTACAACTCACTTAAAAAAAAAAAAAAAAGTACGTATGAGAAAGTACAGCAGAGCGATCACTCACCCAAGTGGTCCTAAACGTAAACCGCAGGATTTAAGGCGCTCCTCGCGACTTATATTGCGCCGCCGGAAGCGGATCTGCAGAGCCGGGGCGGATCGTTGGGCACCTACCGGAAGTCGTTCCGCCCGGGGACGTTTGGGTGTGAGACCCTCGGCGGGCGGGGAAGAGGCGTGTCCGCGGCGCGGGAGGTGTGCGCGTGCTGGAGGTACTGGACAGCGGTGGCCCTTGGGCGGCTGCTGGCGGGAGGAGACCCATGCCTGCGCCTGCAGCCGAACCCTTTTTTCCAGCACCTCACTCCTGCCCCGAGAGCTAGAGGGGAGAAAGCGAGACCTGGAGGGGCTCAGTCCTCTTCTCCAGCGCGAGAGGCGACCCCCGCCGTGCCAGGTGAGAGCCCGCGACCTCGCGGAGACCCGGAGTCCGATCGCCCACCGCGCTGCGTGGCTGCGCGCCGCCGGCCGGGATGCGCGGAGCACGTGCCTGCCTGCGGGGGGCATGTGCGGGGCGCTGCCCGGCGGGCGGAGGCGCGACCGAGCTCCTGGGCGCCCTTGCGCGGCTTCCTGCACTTCCTCCTCCCGCATTGCTTCCTTCTTTGCTTTTCGAGCGTCAGACGTTGCAGTTCCGCCGAAAGGTAGCCGCAGAGCTTCTGCCCCACGAGGCGTCCCGCTCACCGACGTGGGCCGCGCTGAGTTCGGGTGCTGCTGTCCCTAGAAGGGTTACTTTCGGTCTTCCGTACCTTAGGCTTTGTCCCTGCGCTCGCCGTCGTCTGCACACCCGAAGAACAAAAGCTTGTGCGTTGTCGGAGCTCTGCACGGTGCGGCCGGAGGCTGCGGGTCGCTGCCGCACCCGCTGGGCTGGAGAGGGTCCGTCGCGGCGTGCGTGCGGATGCTGACCCTGGAGCTCTGGTGCGAGGCGCTGGACAACTCCCTGCAAGTTTCCTACTCCTGCAGTCCTCGCAGTAATAGTTGCGCGCTGGAAAGGCTGAGTTGAAGAAGTAGGAAGCATGGCTGACCTCGGCACCTGCGAGCCAGCATCCTGGCCCGACGCTGCACAGGGTTTTGCCGGGCTGTTGTAAATTCAGTGAATACAGTTTTTGTGTCCGACAGATGAAATCCTGAAGATAGCCGCCAGTAATGGGCCGGGCAGGTGCTTCACATATGTTCTCGTTTCCTTAGCAACTCCACGAGGTCTGTTAGAGTATCCCCATTTTTCTAGAGGTTAAGCATTGAGGCTTAGAGAGGTCAGGTGACTCGCCCAAGGAAACTGGCTAGAAGGAAACGTTTGAATCAGACAGTTTTGCTACAAAATCAATACTTTATTGGCTGATGTTCTTTCAAGATTCCAGTTCATTACCTAACAGCAGTGGCTACCGTACTCCTTCATTTACTTTTGGTTGGGGTGTGTGTGTATGTGTGTGTGTGTGTGTGTGTGTGTGTATGTGTATGTGCTTACTCTGTCTTGAGGAGTGACCGGCAGGGTTTCTATTTCTCTTCCTGGAGCTTCGGTACTGTGATGCACAATGAAGTAGTTAAGAGCCCCTGGTACTATTCTTACTGTGACACGGAGTTATACAATCAAAACTTGTTTAAGTTTTAAGCTCATATACTTGCCAAGTAGTTGTCAAGGTATTAAACTGAACCATTGATAGGACATTTATTGATCACCCAGTTAAGTCCTGGGAATTTGCAGATGAGGTCCTTATTCTGCAAGAGTGTCCGTCCACACATATCTACATACGGACAATGTTAACGGAAGTGTTGACTGATTTTCTTAGTGGACATGGTATTGTGGTTATGTAGGAAGAGGTACTTATTTTGGAGATGTGTGTTTGAGATGGTGAATACTGATGCCTGCAACTTTCAAATGATCAGCAACTATGCATGTACATATGCGTATATAAATAGAAAGTCACTTTGACAAAGTATTGGCTGTTGTTAAGGCAGGCATGTGGGTGTTTTGTGAAATGTTCTTTCAACTTGTATGCATATTTGACATTTTTCACAATAAAAAAAAAAAATGAAGAGGAAAAACCCAAGCTGTGATGGAAAGAGATAATTGTAGATCTAAGTGCAGAGAGGAGGGGCAAGGGTTTTGATGTGTATTTGGGGCCTGGCAGAGGTGTGACAAGGGCCAGAAAACCTTCATTGAAAGCTTCAGGTTGATTATTAAAGGGAATGGGAACTTCGAAGAGCAGGGAATTCCAGGCAGAAGGAATATAGACTCAGCAGAAAGGCATTGCATAAACATTTGAGGAAGAAAAGCAAATACCAGTGTGGTAAAGGTTCTGTGGAACCCGGGTTGTTTTTTTTGAATATATAATCTTATAAATGATGTTTAGTTTGCTTTTGCTAACCCGAAGAAGCCTTTGTAATCTTCTTCTTACGTAGCTTAGTATTAGTGTCCTGGAATTTAGCCACCATTGATAACACTGTTTCTCCTGGGAAATCAGGTAAACCGGTGCATGTCCATTATTGAGTTAAGCAGCAGGAGCTGGAGCACCCATGTCTTTTGATTTGGGGGACAGAGATTTACTAGTTCACTGCCAGGCTTGAGGGAAGTTGTGGAAAGGGCAACAGTAATGGCTTGGAAAGATTCTTAAATTCAGATTCGGGACTGATGGATTTATCCCAGGTGTTATTTTGAAGACCATGTAGCTCTGGCTAAGCCCAGTAAGACATGAAAGAGACTTTATCTGAGGTGTTAGTGCTCCTGCTAAGTCCCAAATAGTGTGATGAGACTGGAAAAGATGTAATTTGAGATCCATTAGTTGCAGTAGGAAAGAAGAGTGGCTTCCTTAGATGGTAGGTAAGTAGGTACGTTCCGATCAGGTCTTAATCTGTTTGTTCCTTGCCAGTTAAGTTAAGGTCAGAACTCTCTGTCTTCATTATAACAACAGTTAACAAAATATGAGAATAACTAACTTTTCTGAGTCCTTGATATGTGCTAGTTGTAGTGGGATCTCTATTGTTGTTTTATCTTCAAAACTATAATATTTATAGTCCCATTGTATGGATGATGCCTAGAGAGGTTCAGTAACTTGGTTAAGGACACAGAGCTGTGCAAATTTCAGAAAAATTATTCAAACTCAGTTTTATCAAAGACCGTTTGGTCTCAAAGTTGTAATTCCAAGTCATGCAGCAAGAGCATCAGCATCTTGTTGGGACTTTTAGAAAGACAAACTATAGGCCTCCACCCCCAGACCTTTTAGCTCAGTATTTTAACAAGCCCCCTGGCGATTCTAAGGTATACTAGAGTTTAGGAACTGTAAGCCATACTGCTTTTAGTGAGGAAACCTTAGTAGGATATTACTCATTTTAAAATAAGAGATGAAGGTTAAGTGATGCTTACCCTTTGCCCAAATTTAAAGAGATTCTCCTAGCTGCTCATCCATTCATTAAAGTATAGATTCTCTAGTTAAGAATTACTGCTTACGAAAATTTTCCATAGACCTAGTAATTTGTGTTTTAAAAATGTACCAGATAATACATTCCTAGTCCAATTCAGGACTGCCCCTATAGAAGAAATCTTAAAACTAAAGGTTCAATTCTGATATTTGAGTAGCGTATACATCTTTAAGGCCAGAGAATATATATATGTATACATATATACATAAACATATAAACATATATACATATATATGTATACATATATACATAAACACACACACATATATATATATTGGAATTCATGACTAAACATTGATCAAAATTCTGAGTAATGTGGAAATGTTAAATGCATAAACTTTATTTGGTTCAATTATCTGAAAATCAAATTATTTAAAATATCATAGATATCCTATAATACTCATTAAGTTGGGGTAAGAGAAAAAAGATTTAGATAGATAGATATGCCTTGGATGAGAGGAAAAAGGACTTATCATTGGTAATAATGTAATAAGATCTCTGACATCTCGCCTTTTTTTGCCCCTAAGTGAACATTAGACGTCTCTTGGTTTAAACAGATGGACTTGACATTTGCAGCTGATACTGGCTGTATGGTCATTGATTGATTTTTATCAAGTTAAAGTTACTCAGACTTTAGCTCTCAAGTGTGCATTAATAATGGAGAAATGGGCCTTTATCTGTGTCCTTTAAGCATCTGTAAAATGACAATAGCCAACATGGTAGTGAATGCCTATAATTCTAGCACTCCGGGAATTTGAGGCAGGAGAATCACAAGTTTGAGACAAGCTTGGACAGTTTACTGATTTCAAAAATTAAAGGTGGGAGCAGAGTCCTGCAGAGGTAGCCTCGTACAGAGACTCTGGGTTCCATCCCTATTACCACACCAAATAAATACAACAACAAAATCTAACTCCAGTCCCAGTGTAGTAACTAAGTGCTTCTTGGTTTTTTCACATTGTCATGCTTAGAAGTTGGGAGTACTTCTGTCGTATCTTAGAAAAACTAAAGATAGCACCAATGTAAACAACTGGCTGGGAGAGATACAAGCTGTCTTGCAACTGGGTGTAGTTATAGCTTATGGCTGGTGAGGCAACATGTTGGGATTCTGCATTAGCAATTAAATACCTATTAAATAACAATGTTTGATTAAGATTTGTTGCCTGGAGGTTTATATTGTGGGCATGGAACATAAATAACTCAAACGGTAAGGTTAAGGTGTAGGTGACCAAGGATCAATATGAATGATAAAGAGAAAACTAGAGTAATAGGCAAGTTGTGCAGAGAAACAGTTCTTGGGTACTTGAGATGTGCCAGGCACCGAGAGGTGCTACATCTGTTTTACCTCCTTTTTTATAGCCAGAGACTCTCAGATTTCCTATACTAATAACATACTATTACACCAATAGTGAATATGATTTCTTATACTAATAGCGTACTATGATAACCACAGTGAACGTGTGTTTTGCCTTCTACATTTCCATTGTTCTACTCTTCTTTACTTTTCGGGGTAGTACATGAATTTATAAACTTCGTTGCTGTTGGAATCATCTGGGAAAACTTAAAAATATATGAGCCCTTCTCTCACATGTTTTGATTTGATTGGAATAAATTATGACTTAGAAATTGAGACACAGCATATTTAATGTATTCCCTTATACTTAATCCTTGCAACAAAGTACGAGAAGGTACAATTTACAGATGAGGAAATGAGGGTCCAGAAAAATTATTCAAGACTGTACACAGTTGTTGGACTCAAAATTCCAATGCAAGTATTTTTTCCTTCTGAATCTATCCTCTTGACCACTCACCTGTTCAGCCCTTTTACAATACCTGTATCTCTCATATATTGAAATGAAATAACAGAAATAAAGCCTTCCTTAACCTTCTGTTCTTCAGAGCCTCAGTGGTTCTGCCTGCCTTTGTAACAAAAGTTTTCAAAAGAATCGTGTGTATGTCCTTATTTCCCCTCTCCCACTTTCCTAAATGTAACCCAATAACCTTGCCATTGTTTTCTTAGTTCTCTGTGTGCGTCCTTGCTGTTTCTCCTACATCATTTTCTACTATTCTTTTTTAGCTTGGCTGTCGTACTCCAACCTCCGTATTATTCATTCCTGATTATTCCTGATTTGTCAAACACATTTCTGCTTTTTTTTTTT